AATGGAGTTCCTTGTCCACTCCATATCCGCCGATGGAATCTACAAATTCCGAATGCAGCTCTGTGAATCGCTCCTCTGTTCCTCCACTGCCTGTTGGTGGTATGCACATATGTGAGCCATTGCAGAGAACAGAGGAGGGATTCAGATGCTGGGAACATTTTTAGAATAATGGTACTCAGTGGAATTTCACATAGACGTGCATTTTAATTTATGACTCTGGGCCACTTTTGTCAAATAAAGCATGCATTTACAATAGTTAAATATTTAAAGCTTTTGAAAAATGTTTAACTCTTTGCGGTTTAGGTTTTATGCTTCCCTTTAATGTTTACATAATTTAAGTCATGACGGTGGAAAAGCTATACTGGAAAGAGAAACAATCCAACTGAACACTAAATGGTGCCCTGATAGACAGGGCACAGCTCTGCAGCCTGAGCACCTGTACAACAGGCCAAGCCATTCTTTCTGCTCTGATTTCTCCACCCATTTAGTCCTTCATCCATATTCATAATGTCCCTCTCATACACAAATACAACATAGTAACAAAACTGTTTATATTACAAAGGGGCAACTTGTTAGTCTTTATGGTTCTTGCTTTCCTCATCTCTAAAATAAGTGGGTTGGCCAAAACCAGTTTGGCTCAGTCCATAGAGTGTCGGCCTGCAGACTGAAAGGTCCCGGGTTTGATTCCGGCCAAGGGCATGTACATCCCCATTAGGGGGTGTGCAAGAGGCAGCTGATCGATGATTCTCTCTCGTCGATGTTTCTAACTCTCTATCCTTCTCCATTCCTCTCAGTAAAAAAATCAATAAAATATATATTTTTTAAAATAAGTGGGTTGTTTAAAAATGTCACCATATCCTAGAACTATTTAGATAGTATATAATATATAATAGTTAGGTAATATACAATAGTAATGACAACAACCCAAAAGTCTTTCTGCCCACAGACCTTATTCCAACCACTTGATGGTTAAGAGGTCCCTTGAGGGCCCCAAATGCCAGGTTTGATCTGTTCTGTGCAAGAACTGGCCTGAGCTCAGCAGCCCCAAAGCTTTGGACAGGCCATGCTTTCTCTGTGAGGAACTATCCCACGGAAGAGGCTGAAAGAACTCAGAGAGGGACATGGGGGGATGCCTTTATGGAGCTCGGGAGATCCAGTCCTTTCATTCATTCCTCTTCTAAGAGGCCAAGAACAAACTCTTACCCTCAGAGATGTCAGTGAATCACCCTGGGACATATGCACCTCATGAGTCTTTGGGGGTGAAAATATAGGGGTTGGGGGAAGTTACCTGAGTTTCTCAAAGGAGAATGAGATTTATATAATGATTGTCCCCAGGTCACAAAGAGTCCTTCTAGTTGATAGGTTCCAGTACAGACATGCAGGCAGTGTTACACAGGATCTTTAAACTTGACTTCCCCCATAGAGGACCAGGGAATGTGGACCCAGGGGTCAGAGCACATCCCACTTAGCAAGAAACCAAATTGTCTGTTCCTCTTCAAGGGTGTGTTTCCAAAGTAGATTTTAACACTATATCTGCTTTTACCTTGAATGTTGTAGTTTTTACAAGACTTTTAGAAATCTCTCAGAAGCCCTTGTTAAAATTTGGATTATATTCAAGGTAATGCATATAGAAGTGCTCCAGCCACTGATGTCATAAGGAATTCGTCCACTTGGAAGAAAGCCTGGGAGCACCACCAGGGTGCAAGAAGTCAGGGACTGGTTTTTATATGTTTTGAAACACAGAAGCTTTGATTCAAATGTCTGCGTCATATGCTAAACATATGTGACCTTAGCCAAATATCACAAAAGCTCGCCATAAATTAATAGTCTGCCTTAATGGTTTCCTCATTTCAAAACACATTTGTTATATAAGTTAATGCCCTAAGGCCAGTACTTTAAGGTGACTACACAGAGTTTTAATGAAAAACGTATCAGCTATATATGTCTATACAACCACACACACCTACTATGATTTCCCTGCCTTTTTAAAAGTCAAAATGGAAGAGGAGAAATTTTGCACACACTTAAGTCCTGTATTTCTGCTACCAGTGGCTTTAAGTATTTTGAGAGTTTCACCTTCACTCTGTCAACCGGGAAGGACAACATTAAGTGGGAATTAGACTGCTCTGAATATTTTCCTTTCTTTACCAGCTTCTGTTCGTGTGTGTGCGCACGTGCGCACGCATCCAAGTTTTCTTTGGAGAAAAATAAAAGGCCACATAGAGACATAGAAGGCTTCTTTGAAAAAGGAGAGATGGTTTTGAAAGTTATGAAAAGCTGATGTTTGCGTTTAAAATTTCCTGTATTTTCAAATGATTGATTCAAGTCCTTGGATTCTAAAGCTAGCTCACACTTTTGACATCGCCCTCCAGAGCTAGTGATTGGCAGGATAACTTGATTTCCCCCCATAGGCCAAAATAGGCAGCAGAGAGGGAGGTGGGTGAACAGAGGCAGGTCCAGGCTAATGTCCTCTTCTCCCTTCAGCTGGAAGTGAGCTAGAGACTGCTGCTTCCATCAGCCCCCCCGTAAGTGAAATAGTGACTCTATAAAGTGAAATAGAGATACTATTTCACTTAAAATAGAGCTTCTGGCAACATGTTGACTGTTACAAAAAATAGGCAGGATAAAATTTAGAAAGAAAGAGTTTTTTCCTTGATTTCCCCAGCCCCGAAGTATATATGGAAATAAATACAAGGGACTTAGAGAAAAGCCGTATATGAAATCACTTAGTAAGTGTTTTAGTCTACATCTTAAATAATCTGACAGTGAACATTCACAGGAATCAAATTTTTAAATGTTCTTTATCTGTGGCTAATTGTTATTGCTCACTGTAAGATAGTAATGTAATAGCATAGTTAACATAATACAATGTATATTTATATAATTTTTTTATTTTTATATAAGTATACATTTTTATATCTACTCTGGTAATGTAAATGATCATACAATTCCATTGGAATACAAATACATTCCAGTATATACCTAACAGATTTTATATCATGCCTCACTATAAATAGGAATACCGTAAGCGTCTATTTTTCTAACTAAAGGAATATGTGGTGTAAAAACAATTTCTTTTTCTTTTTCCTTTCTATGTTTAAATTTTAACATTTGACAGTTACTTTGCCTTAAAGAAAAAAAAAATACTACAATGCCTAAACTCAGTAAGGTCACTGGCACTGCCGGGGTGTGTAGAAGATTAGAGTTAGTCCTTAGTCTGACCAGGCCAGATCCTTGATCAAAACACCTCGGGGTATCTGCTCTGCACAGGCTACTGGGCACTGTCAGCCAGGCCTCTCCTGGACTCCCATGATCACCCTGACAGACAGAAATCTCCTTGGGACGGGATATTTAGTGCCATGGATCTTCAATCTTTCATTCTACTGGGAGAGGACAAGAGAACGCCTGCCTCATTCACCACCCAGAAGCAGTCTCAAGGTGTGGTTACTCCTAAGCAATGTGGCAGAGACCAAAAAAAGACAAAACGTTGACATTGAGCACTTACAACAGCTCCCCCTAATGACCTGGATGCATTTAAAAAACTGAGCTGTTTTCAAGAAAAATGATTTAAATATAATAATGTTACATGCAATAAACATTAATATTTCAAGAAAAACAATTTTAAGAAGATTAAAAATAGTGGCAGAGTAAGTGGATGCTGCCCAGACATGCTCCCAGGAATAAACTGTTTTTTACAACTAAACAACAACAACAACAAAAACTTAGCGGGTGTATTCTAAGGAAAAAAGCTCTCTTTCAGGTAATATTGATCATTCATTAATTTTCCACTCATTCAACATGTTATGAAGCTCCTATTGGGTGGCACATCTAGGTCTGGTGTGAGGAATTTGGCAGGGAACAAAACAAAGAGTTAGCAATGAAGAAAACTTACTCAAGGCAAGAAAATGAGCAAGATGATTTCAGAAAGTGATACCTGCTATGTAGGAAATACTCAAAGGGATATGATAGTGATGAGGAGGAAGGGAGAGGAAAGATGATTGCTTTTGAATGGGTGGTGAGGGAGGTGAGCCATTCTGACAGAATCAAGACCTGGAAGCAGGGATGAGCTGAAGCAATGTATAGTGTAGGGTGGTGTGGCTTTTTTTTTTGGGGGGGGGGGAGTTAGAGGGGGAGGCATTGGCAGAAAGAGAGGAAGAGGCAGGGGCTGCAGTCAGGTCATGAAGGGCCTCAGAGGCCATGGAGACTGGCTGGAGTTTGTTCTCAGCACAAAGAGAAGACACCAGAGTGTTTTTTGAGAAGGAAAGAGACATGATCTGATTTATGGTTGCAAAAGAGTCCTTTGCCCACTAGGTAACAGAAGGACAGAGGTAAAGAGCAGTGAAGAGGCTATTTTAATAGCCCAGGCAGTCTTCCTTGGTGGAAGCAGGAGAAAACCAGACAGAATCAAGATATGTTTCGAAGGTGGGACTGACAGGATTTACCATGGGGGCTGGACATGGAGGAAGAAGGGGGAAAGAAAGGGCCCAAGAACGAATCGGGTATCATCAGATCAGAGTGGGGCACATGATGCCATTTGCAAGCTTATGGGGTGAAAAGCAAAGGTTCCATTTGGATGTTAGGTTAGAGATGACTGTGAGAAATCTGAGAGGAGCTGTGTGGAAGAAACCAGAGGGTGAGACCAGAGCTTACAGCAGGAAAGACAGAAATTGGGGTGCCATTGGCACGTGGCTAGTGGTTAAAGCCATGGGACGGGATGAGAGCACCTAGGAGAGAGGGGTCTCTGAACAGACTGATCCCGGTGCAGGAAGACAAAGCAGCAAAGGGATGTGAGGATTGCCACAAAGAAAGCAAGAGAAAAACCATAAAGTTAAGCTACATGTTCAAATGAGTGCAAGGTTCCCAGGAAGTCCATGGATGAGGATTAATAACTTTGTCAATTCTTTAGATATCCCTACTCTTCTATCATGCCTGATTAAAAACACACACATACTAATCATGTCCCTCTAGAAGCTACTATGTTACCCACTTTAAAATCTCACCTTTGCTCCAGTGTCCCCCACTCCACGTAAACCCATTGGTCCCGGGGGTCCTGGTAATCCTCGAGGTCCCTAGGTGTCATGATAAGGGAGAGAGTGAGCAACTTTGTTTGCAGTATTCAAAAGAAAGGAAGAATGAGAAAAAGAAAGAAAGAAGGAAAGAAAGAAGGAAAGAAAGAAGGAAAGAAAGAAAGAAAAAAAGAAAGAAAGAAGGAAGGAAGGAAGGAAGGAAGGAAGGAAGGAAGGAAGGAAG